AGCAAGTGCTGTGAGTGTGTTGGAAATTTAAGGAGAAAATTCAAGTCAGTATGCATATTTTATTAATTAAAAGTATAGCGTGATTTATCACATGTATCTCAGATTACGTGAAGACTATTTCTGAAACTTTTCTTTTAAATAATTTGATTGCTGTGAGAATGAGATTAAAAATAGACCTGAACCCTGACAGCATTGGTATTTTAGAACCAATTCTACTGCTGTATATATAAATTGTCGTCTTCTCCTTCCTTGTTTGTTAGCACTAAAGGGCATGTGTGTGGTAACACAATCTTCTGTTTTATAAGTCTTCCTCTGCTTCTGTTGCTTTGCTCCCTAATCCAAAATCCTAATCCCCTGTGACATCTCTGTTACTTGCTCTGAACAAAATTCTGTTGCCGCAGATGGAGGATTATGACATCAGGCAAGGACTGTAAGCAGCAGGGGTAGATGAACTCTGAGAGACAAAGATCCGTTTACCATGCAAATGGCCCATAGTACGAAGGAGTGAGGCAAAGTGTAATACCCAGCATCTATGCTGTGCCGTCACAACTGACTCCAAAGACGGCAGATCAGGATTTGAGCTTCCTTGTGGTATTGTCAGGCTTTCAAAATTCCTCATCGTTGTGTGGGGTTTTTTCTTCTTCCCTGCCCCGCCCTTCCCCCCCCCCCCAGCTGCTGTGAAAATACTGTTTCCATCTTCACAGTTGCTTTTTGTAAAATACAGTTCAGAAACCACAATACTGGTCATGAATTCCAGTCCTTTGGCCCTCTGGACTTTCTCTCTACGAGCACCTTGAGCCACAGGTACGAGGCTTCATGCGGGCTTATTCCTTGAGTAAAGTACTGGTCATTTCTCCTGTGGCACCTAGACAAAGGATATCCCATCCCGTTAGACGATGCCCACTGTATCGTCCGGTTACTGATTAAAGTGTTCTCAGAAGTGCAGGAAGTGAGGAGAAACATTCTAATTGAAAATGCTGTTCACTTTTGCTTCTGTGTAATGGTGTTTACAGTTGATGCTGTAACAAGTTTGCATAGAGTCACAATTGCTTTCTGGTTATATTTTTTATATATATATATATCTTGCTTGTTTATACCTCTAGCAGTATTGGCTTTCATATTTAGGGTTAGAGGTTAGATAACGGGATAATAAGGTACAGGAAGAGGTATCAGCTCCTTATTCCTTATCATCAGATAACTCAGATGTTTTAGGCAAAATGACAACTAATACTGTATTTCAGATTGTTAAATGTCATTCCTTCTTTTGCTGGGCCGGAGTAAGTCTGAAGCAAGTGTCAGACCCCAACCCGACGCCTATGTGCCTCTATAGTTATATCCATGTCTTCTATAAGTGTAAAGGCAGGAGGGAACTATGTATATACATGTGCCTACCAGCCCACACGGTAAAGTTCGTGTCCTGGTTCCGGCAGGGACAGGGTTAATTTTCCCCCGGAGCCGGCTGGGGGCGGGTATTCCCTCCCACACGGCCGGGCTATAAGAGGCAGTAGCCGGGGCGAGGAGAGCAGCCACTAAGGGGTGGGCTGTGGTGGTGCGGGTCCGGTCGGTGCGCTGCGCGGCGGTACTGTAATAGCGTATTCATATCCCTTTATGGGTATTATTGTCTTGTTTTCATCTTCCCTTTTGCTGTTCTGGTAAATTGCACTATTTTAACCCACGAGTTTGCCCTGCCGATTTTTTTTTCTTCCCCACAGCTGTGGGAGTGGAGCGAGCGGCTGTGTGGTTCTTTGTTGCTGGCTGAGGCCAAACCACGACAGTCTGTCAGCACTGTTGCAATCCTAGAAGTGGTCTGTTAACTTCACACTGTGCCAGTGAGGCCACTGGGATTCATACAGCTGCAAATGAGAGTCAGGTGGGTGGGAAGAAGAGACGGAGGGGAGGAGAAAAGTGTTGAAAAGTGCTGCTCAACTTACTTTCAGTATGGTAACACAGTTTTCTTGCTGTGGCTGCTGCTGCCTATTTTCAATAGGTGAATTTTCTTTCAGGGGTTTTGTTGTCTGCTTTTGTTATCCATACTTATGCTTCTACTTAGAGGTTTTGGTTTGGTTTGGGTTTGTGGTTTTTTTTTTTTTTTTAAACAGTATAACAGACTGTGGAAGGAACTTAGTTTTTTTGTGACATTCTCTGCCTTCTGATAGTCACATGTTCCTTCTCATTGTAAAGAAACAGAGATAGCTAAAAAGCTACTGAAATTCACCCATTCTGTTCTTGAAGTGGGGAACGATGATGATCTGGTGGGAAGACCAGGAAGTCGGCACCAAAGCTATAAGGGACTGACCCTGGCTTGGTCTGAATTGTTGGAAGGATCGTGGCATGTCATGGGGTTTCTAGTTAGATGTGGGTTCTCCAAAGACTCAGAAATGTAAAAGCACCCAAATGCACAATGTGAATATCAAAGATGCTGTATAACTGTGGGTGGTGTCAGATGGAGATTGATGGGTCTCGTTTTGGGTTAAAACATTTGAAAATGCTGTCTCCACTTCGGTGTGTCCTATCACAGAATCAGAATCACAGAATTTTCAGAGTTGGAAGGGACCTCTAGAGATCATCTAGTCCAACTCCCCTGCTAAAGCAGGATTGCCTACAGCCCATTACTCAGGACTGCACCCAGGCGGGTTTTGAAAATCTCCAGAGAAGGAGACTCCACAACCTCCCTGGGCAGCCTGTGCCAGTGCTCTGTCACCCTAACCGTAAAGAAGTTTTTCCATGTGTTGGAACGGAACTTCCTATGTTCCAACTTGTGCCCATTGCCCCTCGTCCTGTCACTGGGAACCACCAAGAAGAGTGTGGCTCCATCCTCCTTCAACCCACCCTTTAGATATTTGTAAGTAGTCATAAGGTCTCCCCTCAGCCTTCTCTTCTCCAGGCTAAAGAGTCCCAGCTCTCTCAGCCTTTCCTCGTAAGGGAGATGCTCCAATCCCTCAATCATCTTGGTTGCCCTTCGCTGGACTCTCTCCAGCAGTTCCCTGTCCCTCTTGAACTGGGGAGCCCAAAACTGGACACAGTATTCCAGTTGTGGCCTCACCAGTGCCGAGTGGAGGGGGAGAATGACCTCCCTCGACCTACTGGACACACTCTTCCCTATGCAGCCCAGGATTCCATTGGCCTTTTTGGCA